CTCAAAACCCACATCCAATACTCAAAAACCCACATCCAATACTCAAAAAACCTACATCCAATGCTCAAAACCCACATCCAATACTCAAAAACCCACATCCAATACTCAAAACGTAAAGCATAATACCGGCTAATAATTCGACTATCCACTACTCAAATATCCTGTATAATCGGTGTGAAATCGGCGCTGGGACGTGTGACCAAAGGAATAAAGCCCAACGAAGAGGTGGGACCCTCCAAATCCATTACACGGTAAATGAAAACCTAGGAGACCCCAGGCAGGGACCCACCCCTTTGTTGACTCAGGCTCAGAACTTAGTCCAGAATTGAGGCATTGAGCAGACCCCCCTAAGTCAACGAAGAAAGTGGAAGGGAACCGCGAACAAATAACCAAAAGGGGCGCGAAAACACGTGGAAGTATTGGCGGTCCCAGAGTACAACATCTGAAAAGTCCTCATGAACTTCTTAATCCCCTAGTCACGACAATTCCCTCGTGGTTTACACAGTTTTGGAATGAAATGTTTACAAAAACGCATCAACTCATGGCCGGTAAATTAAATGCTCTGGGATGGACTCCAGAATTCAAGCCCATTTGAACCCGAAAATTCTGTATTTCGAGTATGAATATCGAAGTCTTGCTGAGTTCCTTAAGCTCCAGGCACACAAATATTCCCAAGTTTTCTCGCAAGCTAGCCGAGTTCCTTGAACTCCAGGCCTACACAAATATTCTCAACTTTTCTCGTGAGCTAGCCGAGTTCCCTCGTGAACTCCAGGCCTACACAAACATTCTTAAGTCTTTTGAGCTTGTTCGAGCTGGACGAGTTCCCTGGACTCCAAACCCACACAAATATAGATTCTCGAGTCTTCTCGTGCATGAGCTAGCCGAGTTCCCTAGCTCTCCGAGCCCTTTAACTTACTACAGTACAACACAAGTATTGGAAACAAAACACTCTGCTCGTGGCTCTCCAGGCAGCATTGGCTCTCCAGGCCAACCTAACTCAAATTATTACGCGACATACTCGCGGCTCTCTAGGCCGTTAGCTCTACTCATATTAGCTCCCAAGGCCAATCTAACCCAAATTATTACGCAACATACTCGTGGCTCTCCAGGCCGCTAGCCCTACTCATATTGGATCCCCAGGCCAATCTAATTCAAATTATTACGCCTTCTCTTCTCCCTCTCCCCCCTCACCGAGAGCCTTGTTCACAGGCTATCATTCATTCGAAGAACGCCATTTTTGTTCTGTGGCTTTCCGCAAAATATCGACCAATCAGCATGAACCTTCTCGTTTTTAGTAGGCTCATGCTGATTGGTCAATTTTGAGAATGGGATGTTCGGCTCAAGTAAGCAGACCATTGTAGGGAGGGAAACGTTTCGTGACGACCCTAAGAAGGGCTGCGAAGGAGGCTAGTGATCACGCAGAGCGGCCTTAAATTTCATATTATCCTCTATATTAACAATAACTCCTGGAAGTATATATTCCATTGATTGATCGCCCAAGGAAAGAAACTATTTGCATGCTGATTACAGTTTGAATGTTGTCGTAAAAAGGTCATAGAGTTACCTTCCTTTGAGATGCGAGGTAGAGGAGTAAGATACATGTCTCTCTCGATATCAATAGTCCGATACACTTATTTCAATAAAGTTAGTCACCAAAATACTAGAAAGCTGAGATCACTGAGCATCATGGGAAACTTCATATCAAAAAAGCATGTACTGTACATACAAAGCTTTTTTAATACAAACTGCAGCTCAATGATGCTCAGAAGAGGTGAGACTGTAACCGGTAAAAAATTCGCAAGTCCATTAACAGTTATCGAGCGGTTGAACGTGTAAAATGAATCTACCCATAATCCTTGTCGGCCTCAGCTTTATAGTTTTTCAGGCGACTAACTTTATTGAAATAAGTGTATACAATCCGATCAAACATAGCCAATCGAGAGAGTACTCTTGTACCTTCAAGGGATGGCCACTCCAATTTATTAAGCATATCAGTTACTACCCCTGGTTCCCTAGAATAATTAATAAGGCACAATCCATCTGCTGTACGTTGAATCATATCAAGACGACATATGTCTTTTTGAAGATAGGAATGCCAAGCAGAATCTGCATATTCTATCTTAGGTCTTATTACACTACTACTACAATAAAGCTTAGATTTACAGGTGGCAGAGGCATTTCTAAAATTCCTTCTGATGACACCATAAAATGATTCGAAGAAATCACGAATCTCCCATTCCCTTCGCGCGTTTTAGCCGCAAGAACCTCTTCCATGCGTCCAATTTTGTTGTGATTCTTGGCATGCCGAGATGTATTGAAATTTCCGAACAATGAGCGTCAGTATAATTGAAACTGAATATTTTCGGCTCCTAAGCATTGTTTGGTCATATAGTAGTTAAGGAATCGAAAGAAACATATGTTTTGTAAATAAACCAAATAAACAGAGTTTTACGATTTTAGCACATTAGCCACTAATGTTTTGTTTTGGGTTGAATGTATGACGTCATACGTTACTAGTGCCATTCTTCTTGAGCCGAATTCTTGTAACGAGAAATTAATGTCGGACGAAAATAAATCGTAAAATTTTGGCCTTTTCCTTTCGAATATCAGAAAGATATTTCAGTGAGTGGTTAGTAATGTATTCAAGATTATTTCATCAAAGTTCCAGCTCGAAAGAAAGATTTTTAATTTTGGAGCGATTTTCGTCCAAGTGCGATTCCCAGCGAGGTAGGAAATTAATTTTTCCGAATTTATTTCCAAGGGTCTTTCGCCCGGAATAACCTCTTTCCCAAGCACTATAACTTATCTATATTTCTACACCTTGTATTTCATAAGTGCTACGCGGTCCACATATTCTCATCTTTGCATCTAAAACAGTGAACAGGCAAGATTTCGAACTTATGAAAAAAGGTGAACACTCTTTAATTTTGATTTCCTTGCTTCAATGCATCAATCAGCAGCTCCCCCCAGGGTGCGACAAACCTCATCAAATAATACAACCGTCATCAAATCCCCCTGGGTGTGGGACAGAAATTTTTGGCATATCCCCCCACCCACAGGGGCTAAAGATAATAACTCCAGACCATTGATATAACTGACAACAAAGGGAACACTTCAAATTCTTGCAATTATAGAGTGCAAGCAATTAATCCGTGAAACACTAATTACTAAATAGTACAAAATAGTGCAAAATAAACAATAGAAAACAATGGAAATTGCCTGAAATTGCTATTTAGCATTACTAAAGTTTCACGGATATATTGTTTGCACTCTAGCATATAAATTTGTCCAATTTTGCTGCCTTCTTTTGATTTAGAATTATCTTTGGATTTTTAGGCGGTGTGGCATGACGTATCGAATATATGTTTCACGAATCACTACAAATTCCTGTTCTACGGAAATTCCAGAGACTACTCTCGAAGGATTCAAGAAGCAGTTCTGCACAATTTCATTTTGATTTTAAACAGTTTAAGTTACCAGGTGCAATCATTTTTGAAAAATCGGATAGCATTTACACAGTGTAAACATAACATTCAACAACAAACAATGGATTTTTCAAGTCCAAGAGTAAAATTTCACAGACATTAATTCCTCATAACGTTTTGTTTTTTAATTAACATTTTATTTTCACTGAGGTCGGGGGGGGGGGGGTTAACAGGTAAAGCATCTGTAAAATTACTAATTATCATTTCGTTTTAGAGAATGCAGCTAAACGAAAATCGAGAACAAAAATACTTGTGCATCTATCAATGTAAATCTCGTTAGGGAGTGAGGTATGGGGATTTGATAGAAAACATGCCCTTCTAGGTATAATTTCACGGGCTTATCAACTAGTAACAAAATAACAAAATACGAATTAATAAATTCATTTTTGTAAATTCGTATGCCCCCTAGATTAAAAGAAATAACTGTTTTAGTATATACCAACACGGTAAAATCAAAAATGTTCGTCTTTACCAGTGAAGTAACTACACCTGTTTTGCTAAGAAATAGCTAATATCTATTTGTTATTTTGTAATTTATTAATTTTAAATGACAACGTTCTTGCAATTTTGTGTATTTTTCCTCAAAAGTTTTACGTATAGTGCTCACTTATTTTGTATCCAAAACCCTTATTTCCTCGTAGTCTTTTGTAATCTTGTCGATAGGTGGCGTCCCTTTAACATTGTATTTCCCAGGGTAGATATTAGGTCCTTTCTTTACGATCTCGTAGAAGGTCCAGTACATAGCATCAAATCTAAAAGGAACAGAGTCAAGTGGAATTAGAATTTAGATATAGCTATTAAGATTAATAAGGTTTTTGTAACACGAGTAATTTTTCACAGAAAACGAAAGACAAATGTACGACAGAACGATTAGGTTTTATCATGTCAAAACCAAAACGACGTTGGGGTTAAGATATTTTTTAAGGGAAGGCAGGCAAGGTCGGCAGTTGCTTCGATAAAATATCACAAAGCTCTGGAAATCGAATTCACTTAATTTATTGCGAATTAATTTAATGCGGATGTAAGCTTGGATGTGGTGGACGGTGCAAATGTTCAAAGGCTAATTTTGCATGCACAGGTCTGTGTAATTGTGGTGGTGACTGCGGCTAAGACGTCATTTTTGATAATGTACATTATTATTTTCAATCTTATTCTGATTGTTATTAAGTTATACTTAAGTCGCGCTGTTTACTTGGAGGTACGAAATATTCGAGTATAGAAACGCGAAAAACCGGTGAATTCATTATGACTCACCACAGGGATTTCACTCATTTAGCCGATATTTGCTTCAAAACAGTCACTTGACATAAATTGCAAACAAGAGTGAATCAAATGTATGTCTATTATCATCATGTAGTTATCTGGTCAGAAAGTGATAAACGAAGAGCTTTAAGATTGCAGCCTCGCTTTCATGTTGTACATTTAAGGCATGCGCAGAACTCAACAATATTCGCAAATTTGGGTTTGCTCCATATCCAAAATTGTTTCTCTTAGGGATATTAGTAATCTGGCCAAGTTTCATGCTTTTATCATTAAAGTGAACAATAGGCCATTTCACGGATCCCGTCACTCAACCTCAACCTCGTCAGCGTGTAATTATTCTTTAGAATTTGACTACAGTCCGCAGTAATGAAAGGAATTTACACATCAACGAACAATTGAAACACTTAAAAATAGCGCAGCGCACTGATCCTAAAAATAGCTTAAAGATTCGGACAAACGTTGCATTCTGTTTAACCGCTACGAGGATTATACGAACCGATTTTATTATTTTTACTTAAAGTTAAAATAATAACCCATGTAAACTAAGATCAACTGCGATCGGCTGTGAAAATTATCTGCTGAAAGTAAACTTGTAAGTTTGTTTGTCCGAATTTCGCCTTTGTCTTCGTTTTTATGACGTCACGGTTGCGCTGCGCTATTACACAGGTTGTAGGCAATTTCTAAAGAATATATTACACGCTGACAAGGCTGAGGTTGAGTAACGGGATCTGTGAAATGGCCTATTCAGCATTTTTTTTGGGTCGATAACAGCTGGACTATAGCAGCTGGTGAAGTTGTACACATTTGGGACTACTTAAGTGGTTTTTCCGAGACCTACTTGCGGAGGCATTCAGATAGTACGCCTGTACTCTTTCTAATGTTCACATTTTCGCTTGAATTTTTTAGTTTTCTTGTGGTTTCTTCGTCTGCCAATGCAAAACATGAAGCCATTTTTGCTTGCAAAAAAGAAAAGTTTACAGTTTGCAAGCGTTGCTATGCAACTGAACTACCAATTATAATCTAATAATTTGGCCCCACGAATTACGGTAAAAAGCTCTCCTTCGTTAGCCAATCAGCATCGAGTACTTTTGCCCTGTATGTAATAATATGCCAGAAACACGATTTATATCCTTGAGAAACTAGATGAACCGCATTTTAGACTTTTGGTGAAAGGTAGGAGGCAGTGTACGAGTAAATCCCAAACTGGTAATGCCTGCATGAGTGTTAGATGGTGACCATCTTAATCAAGTAAATTTATGTTTTATACACGATCACGTTCGTACGCGTTCAAAGAAAAGAACCCCTTCACGATAGAACGCGGTTATCATAACAGAAGGATGAGGACCAACAGTCGAATATTTCAAACAATTATTCGCCGCAGGTGAAATGAAAATACAATATATATATCACCACAACCACTGGGCCCGAGGGTATTAATGATTTTAGTATAATTTCAGACTTAAATACTAGAGAAAAGTCGAAATTCAGGATGAAAAATCCTTTTAGTATTACTTCCGATCTGGAAAACTCCACCGCTCCAGCGGTGATTATCGTCTCAGAATCACCGGTCGTCGAACAATCACATCTCGAGAAAAAATATATATATTCGAGTCTAAAATGACACTAAACCGACAAAGTCGATTTTGTGTTGCGTTACTTAGACATTATAGAGATAGGTAGGTTTAGGTAATCGTATGGGCCAAGTAAAATCAGTTAAGGATTAATTTCACTTGTGTTTTCAAAGTTTTGAAATTGCTTCTTTGAAATTTCAAAACTTTGAAAACACAAGTGAAATTAATCCTTAATTTTATGAGGAACCACGCGATTACCCTTGTATCATATATAGCGCAATTGATCAAAAACTCAATTGATCCTGAACTATCAAATCAAATGTAGTTATGGTTCAAACGAATTTATTCAGAAAATAAGCATAAAAGATCGAGTCAAAAACAATAAAAACATGCATAAAACTAGATTCCTACCAACAAAGTTCTTAATCTGAATCTGAAGCGTTTTGACTGATTAAGTCCAGACCAAGATGATCGTGCTGAATTATTTAATCCCAGCGATGCCGTTCAAAGTCACAGTGAAGTTGTACACATTTAGGATTACTCGAGTGATCTTTTCGAGACCCATTTACGGAAARCATTAACCCAGACACCTGTACTCTTTCTAGTGTTCTCATTTTCGCTTAAACTTTCGATTTTCTCTTATGGTTCCTTCGTCTGCCAATGCAAAACATGAAGCCATTTTGGTTTGCAAAAAAAAGGTACAGTTTGCAGGCGTTGCTAGGCAACTGAACTACCAATCATACTCTAGTAAGTCGCCCCCCCCCCCCCGAATTACGGAAAAAAGCCCTCCTTCATTAGCCAGTCAGCATTCAGTAATTTTGCCCTGTTTGTGATAAATCATGAAATCCTCTTACAAGGCAAAACTGATTTAATGTCCAGCTTCACTTTCTTGTAACTCTTTCGTATTAAATTTTAAATTCAACGATAAATAGTAAAACCTTTAGCATTAAACAATATGACTTTTTTAACAAAAACAATTTTTCAAACCTGTTCATTACATCTTTAACTACATCCGGAAGGATTTGTGCTGTCTTTGGTGACAAAGAATTGTCAGATATGGAAAGAGAGGGCGCATCATCTCCGCTAAACCATGATGTCACTGTATGGTGTTGTTCAAGGTTTACGTGGGCGTCCCCAAAGTACTGAAGCTCAGGAATTCCTGTTTATTGGCATATAAACATAAAGTTATTAGCAACGTACAGAAATGTGAAAATGCTAGGAGTAATGATGTAGCGCATGCCTGAGTATCATCATACAAAACTATCTAATTTCCCGAGAGATCAGACACTTAAACGTCTTTCCTATATAGCAATCAACAAATTATTAGGATTGCAAAATAAGAATTTTATTTCATTAAGCTATTATAAGTTTAAATGCAAAACAAAGCTGCCCTCCCACCCCCCACCCTTCCTGAGCCTAATCAATGCCTCCCTCCCCAGATCACACTGCTCCCACTGTAGATATGAAATGGCGGTTCTGCGCCCGGTGCCACAGCGCATCGTAACTAAAATATTGTCAAACATTTCTCACAAATACGAGATCGAAATAAATATAATATAATTTCTCATGATGCATGACGTTTATTCATTATTTGAATATCGCAGCGACAGTTGCACGAGAATGAAATAAATCAAAATTTAATTTCTTGAGGCGTGAAGTCGAATTACATGATATACTCTTCGTGGTTTTCTTCGTTTTGTGGAGTTCGGTTAATCAATTAAGGCTAAGCAGACCAGACTCTGACACCTCACTTTAAAATCGGTGGACTGAAACCTCAAAAGGCACTCGAACTTCAAAACTATAGGTGACGTCATCCTGATTGCGTTGGTATGGTGCAATCCAGCAAATTAAAGATAGATATGGATGACCACCCCTCCCCCTACTTCACTGGAACCTCACTTTAGAATACGTCAACGTTATTGCTTACTATCAATCACGTGACTTTTTGGAGTTGACTGGGGGACAAACAAGCGGTTGACTGGGGGCAACTAGCGGATGCTATGTCAAAACATATCAAAATAGGTCCTCAAACTATTGTATTTGACTATTTTCACGACATGATCCAGAAAACAAGAGATCAAAACAACCTCCAGGATTCTACAAGCCATCAAAAAAGAGCTATTACCGGAAGTGACGTCTATTGATAGCAACCTATTACGGGCCCGGAGTAGGGTCTGGAGGAGAGCACCGGCACCGGATGCAGAACCGTTATTTCATATCTACTTACCACCTCCCAGGTCATGAATAAACGGTTTTTGGGAAATATAGTTATTATTTTTTTTAATGCATTATACTCACTATCTGAATCCTCATTAGTCCAGAATCTACAGATAATTCTTGCTATCAAAATGCGCCAGCGATTTTTCAGCGGTTATCCGTAGATTGATTTTTTTACGAGTTATTTTGAAACTTCTTTTAAAATAAATTTTATCATAAAGTTTCTATCTTTATATAATCAGTTAATCTATTTGAACAAATAGTATAGTAAAACAATTATTAAATTCGGTTTTGATGATATCCTAAATTATCAATGTCTCGGCAAATGTTATTGGCCTCATCCTACGGCTTTGGCCAATATCACTTACCTCGACATTGATAATTCCGGATATCATCAAAACCTCATCCAATAATTGTTTATTACGCTGACTATTCTTTCACAAGCAAAGGAAAATCACACTATCTTCGTGACCTGGGACGAGATAGTTTTATAATATAATGTAAAGGTCACTCTGACGAGACAACTATTGAGAGGTTGTTGACAGGCGTTTCGCAGCAGCAGATTATTTAGAAGGTCTAAAGCGATATCGATCTAAGAGGTATGTACGATGGGGTTGAGATAGTTAGAAATGAATTAGATATATAGAAAATTGATGAAACAGATAAAGGAGAATCATAAATGTATTGTTTTAAATAATATTTCAAAAGGGATGTGACATGACGGAGATGATATCTACCGGCTGGATATTAGTTTTAGATATAGCACATTTACAAAGGAAAACTACATGAAATAAAACGTTTTGTCTTACCATTTGGTGCTTTGGCAATGTGCTTGTAGATTATTGTGAACAGATCGTACAAGCCAGCTTCCAGCAGTTCTACCACAGTGAGAGCGACAAGAGGATCTTTTGATCGACGAAGACTGCTAACTACTTCGTACATCAGCAGGCGTACACTTGAACTCTCTGAGGCCCATACGTGACGCAATAACCCACCAGTTGAGCCGAACTTATCTAACGACCAGCCTAAAGTCTCCAAATCTCTAAGGTAGAAATTGTAATGGAAGTTGTCTTCATTTACAAATGTATTTACGCGTTTTTCGATGTCGCTGAGTTCATGTTCTGGCTTATCAATCCTCATCCAGTAAGTTAGAATATCAGGACAGCCAATCGAGAAGTATAGCATATATGGTGCGAAAGCAAGTCGCTGTTTAGGTGGAATAGATTCGTCACGTAAGAGTGGAAATAATGGGTTGGTTTCACTCATACGAGCACGTTCTTTTTCTATCAGTGCAAGAACGTCAGCAAAACTACAGCATGATTGCTGGTTGTCATTTGGTGGAAGAGACGACAAGGAACGAGTTGCTAGCAATGTTGCTTGCCTGTATCCAGATTCACGGACATATTTAGAAAACATCACGGGAACCAGACAGAGATGGCGAAATTTGGAAAGTTGTTTAAACATTGCTATTGTCTATTAGGTTTGACGTTCTAGAATTTTGAGCTTCAATTTGAAAAAGGCGAAACTCCTCGCGGTCTTGCGGAAGAATTTATTCGAAAGCGAATCGAATTAATTATATACCTTAATATGAAATGTGTTATGTGAGAAATGGGTCACCTGATCGTGAATTAATCTAAAACACGTGATTTTCATTTCCTTAAAGGAATATGTAAGATTTCGTAATCGGTTCGTAGGAATATTCGGCTTGAATTACAGCTTTGAATACAAAAAAATGTTTAAAGCCAAAGATAATTTGTAGACTAAAATGTGAATTACATTGTGTAGAACCTGAATTGACAACGGAAAACACATGATTGGACACTTTCATATCCTTGCAGAAACATGTAACAAACGTTCATTTTTTACCTGAACAATTTTTTGCTTCAAATTGATTGACTGGAAAATAATCATTTTTATCACCCTTCTTACACAGGTACAGAGGTTTCATCAGATGATTTCTTTGCCAACCGTCCTCAATTCTAGGTTAGTATAATTTTATTTTTGCCAGAGTAAACAATGAAAGGTCATCTCTCTGGCCATGAAGTATCGTTTCCGTGGGTATAAATGTTCGTAGGAAATACAAAACCAAAAAGCCAAAACACGTCCAAAGCCACATATTTTTAAAGACACTATTATTTTAATTGTTTGTAGGAGATACAGATTTGTACTCCAAGACATGTTTAAAGCCACATTTGGACGATTGGTATTTTTTCGTATTTTTCTAACTCCAACTCTAAATAGTGTGTTTGCTACCATCTCAGCGGGGATCAATACCTACCATACCGATTTATTATGTTGGCGTGCTATGAAAGACTAAATAGTTTTACCCAACTCATGTTATCGTTCATCGGGTTCTCTGTTTTACAATTATATCTACGATCTCAGCTATAGGACTGGGAAAAACTATGCAAAATTATAAACGAAATAAGTTATTATATCAAATCTCAAATCTACTGTGTAGCCGTGAGGTTTCATTATACCGATAACGAATCGAAATATGGCGACCAATTCTTGAATATAAGGAAGCACAGGTAGCGTAGCGGAGAGAGCGCACGCCTCTCACCAATGCGACCCGGTTCGATTCCCGCTAAGCTCGGTGTCGAAATTACCCGTTTTTGATATACGGGGGTCCTGTGCAATTTAAAGTGTGAAAGGGAGATTTCGGCTGGCGGGGTAAGCTAGCAAATATGAATAGAATCCATTCGATGCAATTGGAATTTTAAATTTAAGTAATTCCATTGGGCTCACACTTTTATTTATTAAATTATATATTTTTTGTGTATATAGGTAGAATACATCAGACTCTACAGAATGACGCGCAACCAGACAGAGTTAGAAACGCCAAGCTTCAGAAACAACATCACTTTTTTTGTGTTTGGATTTTGTACATACATTCTTGTCTCTGTAAAATTTGTTATTGCTGAAGATGTGCTAGCTGATTCGGTATATCCAACAACAGTAGTCTTTACTTGTGGCATGGGCCCTTGGTTTCTGACAACGCTGATTTTCCCATACTTCATCAACAAAGTCTCGTATTCAATACGTGTCCTGTTTATTGCCATATTTGGTACTGGTGGCTTGCTGTTAATTTCCCTGTGTGGAGTATTGGCGGTAAAGCTGCTTGGAGTTTGCTTCACCTCCTTGTCATGTGGAATGTCAGCGGTTACATTTATTCCCCTAACAGCTTTTTACAGAGAATCAACTGTGAAAGCTTACACTGCCGGCACTGGATGTGGGTTGTGTTTTGGTACATTTTACTATGCAGGTATTTTCCTTAATAATAAGCCTGAAGCGAGATGACGTTTTACCCCCGTCTCTAGACCATAATTCTTTTCACACTGCTTTTGTTCTTTAATTGTGAGTATTGTTCCTGTATTCGCTAAGGAATCAAAAATTTTAATATGAAAGAATTTTTAAAACTATTATGGTATGGAGTCGGGGGTAAAACGTCATCTCGCTTCAGGCTTATTATAATATGATAAAATATATGCCATAGAAAGACATACAGGCAGGTAGACAGAGAGACAGACAGATTTTATTTTTTTGTAGTTTTGCACTATTATACATCAACTTTCCTCCAAATAGACTTATTAAGTTATTATATCAAATCTCAAATCTACTGTGTAGCCGTGAGGTTTCATTATACCGATAACGAATCGAAATATGGCGACCAATTCTTGAATATAAGGAAGCACAGGTAGCGTAGCGGAGAGAGCGCACGCCTCTCACCAATGTGACCCGGTTCGAGTCCCGCTAAGCTCGGTGTCGAAATTACCCGTTTTTGATATGCGGGGGTCCTGTGCAATTTAAAGCATGAAAGGGAGACTTCGGCTGGCGGGGTTTGTTTATGAGAAGAATAAAGCTGCCGATACACGCTGCAACTTTTTGTCGCGCTAGCAACGCAATTTCACCTTTTTGTCTACCATTTAAAAGGTTTGAAATTAACTTCTGGGTAAAAATCAGTATTAAATCCTGATTGTCTACTCTGAATAGGATTATTGCATTGTGAGTAAACATGGGTGATAGACACTGCAATTTTCAATTTTCGCTAGTTTTAGGCGTGCAATTCCGAAAATGTTGGGAATGTTTACCCCGTCTTCTGCACTATACATTTTCACAAAATCGCATAAGTCGCCGATTACCTTCAAAATGTTCCTTTTAAAACTAGATACAGAGTAAAACTAAATGAACAATGACTTTTGTGAATATATAGCTCTGAAATATTAATTTCGGCCGTATCAAATCCATTGTTTAGTTTTGAAGTAGATTATGCATTATATTTAAATAATTTCAAATATCTCATAATTAGCTAGATAGATTTTTTCAAAAATCCCCACAAATGGAGGCATCCAGTATATGATTATGTGGTACGAAGCATTTTAGAGTTGAACGCTCTGCAAGGCTAAAATTATTTTCTAAACGAAATCAAATATTTCATCATAATCACGTGTTATGACGTCCGATCTCACTAATAATTGCATCAAACATTAATTCAATCTTTATGTGACTTATGTGCTAAAAAGATTTGCAATCGGATAAAACACATTTATGCACCAGCGTTCCAAAAGTGGAAGGTAGCGGTCAAGCGTGAGGGGGTGCAGCCACACAACTTTCTTTTATCAGAAAAAATATCTAACAGATCCGAATATGTAACAGAAATTTGATTTAAACAAATAGTACAGAAGAATAGCAATCCCTCAACGTAAGAAGATCCGCTATYTTAAACTCCATTCCTTCTACCCATAATTCATTATATAGCGCACACCCCATACTATATTATCTTTACCAATTACATGTACCTTTTTGTTTTGAATTTTTTCCGATTTTCTTATACAGTGTTGACAAGCTGGGCCTGTGTTTCCTCAGAAACCACACTCTTAACCGAAGTTTGTGCACCAGTATTACTGCTTACTTTCTACGCGTTCTTTCTGCGGAAGAAACAGCCTAAACCAACAGCAGGGGAAGCAGTAACTAGCCCACTTTTACCTGTGGCTCAAGACAAGACTCATCCCCCACTCCTGTGCAATGACAAACTGATGGCTATAAGACAGACTCTCAGATACGTCCTACCGTTCTACATAGGCGTATTAAGCCAATTTGTAATCTTGCAATCAGTGGTGACAACGATGGCATTTCCAAACGATTTGTTTCATCCACGTGATCTATACCAGTTCTACGTATTCGCTTTTGTCCTTGGAAACTTTATCAGCCGATCGTATCGTGTAATCCTCAGTCTCTTTCGAAACGGCTCTACCCTTCTTATCCGACCTACGTGGATTCTAAGCATGTGTCTCGTTGCCGTCTTGATTTTCTTGTCTGTTTGTTCATGGTACCGTTCACCTCAATCTGCTTGGATGGTGGGGGGCGTTCTGCTTGGTGTTGGGCTGTTAGCAGGTTTACTTTACACCAGTACCTTTACCGTGGTGGGAGAGGACGAACCTCCTTCCGTCAAGGAGTTTTGTCGTGCGTTCACAACAGTTGCTTCAGTAAGTGGTGCGCTGACCGCGGGTTTTCTCGGGTTATTTTTAGAGCACGTTTTCTTACATCACTGTACCAGTGTTGAAAAACACAACCAATACTGTTATACACGTATCGTAGGGAAGTTCAATACCACAGTTAAATGTGATTGGGGGAAATAAACTTAGCTCGGCTAAACATTCATACAGATAGCAGATGAAACCTTATCTTTATTTAAATATTTTTGATAGTCAAGCGAAAATCTACCAAAAGTATTAATTAAAGATTATGGTAAATGTGTTGTATGTTACAATCCCTTGATACCTATAGATGGACTTGATATCTTGTTTTAGAATTTAACAGTTTTTACTTCTGTGAGCATCTCCCAGATGCAGTTGGTATCAAAATACTTGTTTGACTTAAAATGTTTCCCATCATCCTTAGCAGTCTCAGCTTTCAAAATTTTAGTGAATAACTTTATAATATACTCTATAATATCCTTGTACCGTACCCTGGGGTCCAGGGGTTATTTATTCTTGATCCGGCCTTTGCTGTTTTGACGGGAAATGAATCCCTGCCCTGTCCTGCCCTGCCCTATATAGCCTACCCTACTCGAAGTGAGCCTCTGGACCCGGGGTACTGGTACGCAAGCACTAAGTTAAAAAAGATAATGTATCATCTGATCTGCGTTTCTGTTTTGTCTGTTTTGAGCTATTTAACCCTGAATATTAACCTAATTTATGGAAGAAGTCCCGGATGGGACATGGTTAAGCCGTTTAATAAAACAAAAAGGCAAGTGAAATGCTATTTTTATATATATTGTATACCATATACTAGATTCTTTTCCGCATTACTGTAATAGACCGTTACCCTAATGATGATTCAAACCTAAACTACCACAATCCTTTTCAAAATCTCTTTATATTCAAATATTTAAACTCCTTTAAAGTGAATACTAGAATAACAAAAAAACTACCAAAAATGATTCTGGAAGTGTAGATATAACACGTCATCATGCTTTAGGTCTTTTGGTCCTGTATACACCATTAGATCTAGCAGTTTGCTTGTAAAAGTTATAGTTTAACTTCATTAATTCTTCTGACACCACTCATTTTATTTTACCCAATTACCCGCTTATTGTTTAAGGGTGGCAGAGATTTATTGTCTGATCAGCATTCTTGTATATCAGTCTTTAGCTTGAATAAACTTCTCTTTTGTGTCAAAACGTTGTGTGTCTAGATCTGTGTTACTTGGTTTCTGGTTGTGGAATTACACTAATCTAAAGCGCTTGCTTTAAGGTGGCTGCCTACTATTAAAAAAATCCATAAAAAGGCTTTTGAATCACGATTTTTTTATACCAAATTTATTGTTCATTTCAAATCTAGAAAGAAAAACTAAAAGGGGTGTTCCGAGATCGTTTTTGAAATATTCACGATGAAACATTAGCGTAGCAACAACTTTTGAAGAAAAAGAAGCGATAAGAAAACGTCCTACCAAAAAATTCGAAACGTCACTGACATTCAAGCTTTTTACCTTTTTCTCCGAAAATCATAATTCATACATCTTTACAAATATGAAAGGATTTGGAGAATGTTGAGAATTATAGAGAAAATCTTTTTGTTTGTCTTGTGTTAAAAATTTTTTGCTAAAACGAGTGCAAAAAATGTACACTTACTGCGTTTTCTATATACACATTCCGTTTCCTTCAAACTTTGTTAGAAGCTTCTGTTTTTATGTACCCTTTCAATAATTCGAAAAAACAATTATAGAGTCCCGTGCAAAATTTGAGTGTTTTGCCGTGTCGAAGTTCAAAATGTCTAATAATGATGGAAAAAAAAAAAAAAAAAATGAAGGTCAAAATAATAATAACAATAAAAATTTGAAGGTTATTGGCAGTTTTGAGTGGTTTTAGTGTGCGTACACATCGTGGCCTCTAATAATGCAGTCATCTTCGCTGCGTAGGAGCGTTCGTAGTAGCCTCATTTCCCTATAGTGGCTAGGCAGCCACCTTAACTTGGCAATAGACCTATCCCGAACTCGCTTGACTGACCACGAAACAATGGTTTGAAGTCGAGACTGAACTTGATTCTTTATTCGTCAAGTTCAACCCTCGACTTGAAACCATTGTTTCGTGATAGGTCGGGATAGATCTATTCCTGGAATGTTTTCTAAGGCCCCGTCCACACGTATCCGGAAATGTTTGCATCCGCAAATTATTTTTTGCGGATACGAAAATGTTTGCGTCCACACGCAGCGTATTCGAATCGTTTTCGCCGTCCACACGTGTCCGTTTTTAGGCCCCGTCCACACGTATCCGCAAATTTTTTTTTTTGCGGATACGGGTTGCGTCCACACGTATCTGGAAATTTTTGTATCCGTATCCGGAAATTTTCGAAAACGGCCTCCAGAGTGGAAATTTTCGAATACACTCCGAATACGGATACGTGTGGACGGTCGTATCCTCAAATTTTCGAATACGCTGACGTAAACACGATTTTGCGCATGCTCAATAAGAAAAACTATCTGTCAAAGGGACTAGGCACTAGCGTGCATCAGTGCGTATCAAGAAATTTCCAGATACATGTGGACAGCTGCGTGTGGACGCGAACATTTTCTTATCCGCAAAAATAAATTTGCGGATACGAAAATTTCCGGATACGTGTGGACGGGGCCTAAATGATTTCTTACGTACAAAACAAAATAACTTGGTCTTTTCAGTTCTAACTTATGGTTTATGTGTAGATGCTTTTTTAAACCCTTTCAGCTTAAACTTCATGTATTCCCTTTGATCTAGAAACAACCCGTTCAAAAAACGTTGTAGGTCGGAGATCTGAAATCTGAGATCGAAAGAAATTGTGGGTTGTAAGCTGTAAATTGTTTGCGGTTTTAATTCGTAGTTCGCAAAAAGTTAATATCCTGATATACTAAGTTTGAGCGATGACCTGCGCTGGCAAACTATCTGGGTAAGTGTATATTGAATTTTTAACGAGAAAACGCCCAGTCCCCCACAATTCCAATCCGTATCAGATTTCTGATTTCAGATATCCAACCGACAACATTTTTTTAAATAGGTCTACAGTCAATTCAGAAAACGTTCTCGTCAACAAACTTTATGAAATAACTGTTATGAATGTTGCGTTCTGATTGGTTTGGAGCGCGTGCTTTATGAGAGTACATTGCACGCGCGCGAAATTTTCGTTGCGCCATTCCTATCCATTTTTGTAATTTGTATTTTTTTTAAAGAAATAAAAAACTTGCTTGCTGTGCTGTGTGCAGTTATAAAGCACTTGGGGATTGGCAGAACACTCGAGAAGTGTCCAGAAGCACTCCGCTACGCGTGGTGCTTCTCCTACACTTCTCTAGAATAGAATAGAATAGAATAGAATAGAATACCTTTATTTAAACACGATAAAATTTAAAGCTAAAAGCTTGTGGGGTCGTGCATAAAATAAATTAAATAAATAAAATATAATATAAGTATGAATCTGTAAAAATAGCTAATTAACTTAGATAACTTTAAATATCTTATATATAATTCTCACACACATTCACATACACAAACTGCGCAAGCTATTAGACCCGCCAGGGGCAGAAAACACAGACAAATGCGGTGAACACTCTCTGTTCTGCCAAACCCCGCGTGCTTTATGACAGCACACAGCACGCGCGCGCGTTTTCTATTTCTTCATTTTAGCATATGCGACTGTACCAAAAGGGACTCTGGGTAGAAATCATTCACTTTCATCTAAATTGGCTTCCTGTGGTATGGCTTTACACACTTCTCTTATCTACACAAAGTTAAAAAGCTCCGACTCTATTTGTAATTACAAATAATTGTATTAATAATAACTTTCTATAAATATTAAATTATTTATATAAAATAATAAAAATAATTAAAAAAAAAAAAGATATTGTTTGACTTGGCGGGCTCCCTGTGGTACGTTTAGGCCAGCGGTTTTACCGTCCAATATGGCCGCAATGTTTTCTTTAGCAAGTTTATTGAATCCTTTGGCAAAGATAAGCAGGAATGAGCTTATGACCCCGATTTGATTTGTTATTTTTCACTGGCCAAAGACGCTATATGGTCCAAAGGTAAGTTATAAGTTTTTAAATTTTGTCTTGGACTTTTATTGATTGGTCAAAATGAAAGTCTGATATTAAAAAATGATCGTGTTGTTTTGATTAACTGGACCATCGTAGTCATAGAAACTCAAAACGACTAGTTGAATATACTTTGTCTTTGGCAATTATTACACATTTTCTTTTACTTTTCATAGCACATTTATATTAACTGATTGAGACTTGAGACTCTGATTGATATTTAGTTGTGTCATAACTCCCTATAAATCATACAGCCTGTTCGTAACTGCGTAATTGCTTTCTAAATATGCTGGGGGCAATTCTTATTCAGGAAAAATGCATTTTTCATTTTTTTCTCTCATTTTTTTTTTTGTTTTATTAAAAAAAATTGAAATGCTAGTTTGGTGTTTGCAGTTAAACTAGCACTTGCGAATACTCCCATTTCGTGTTGGCCCTTTTTGCTCAGTCATAGCCTCGACTGTGTACAAATTTTTTCTTTTCTTTCATGAAGGTCCATTAGTAAGAAATGTACATATTACGGAACAATATGTGTTGATAAAAATGCAATGGATTTTGGTTAATAGGTTGAATATTCTAACGTACAACTAAGGCTGTGAATGCTGAGCAAAGAGAACTTGAAACTGAAGTACTGTCAGAACACTTAAAGCATATTCCATTCCTACCCCAACTCTTCYCTATTGTTCTGCTAACAGCAATAATTCACACACATTTTCTATTTCTTCATTATTTGCATAAATGTAGTTGTAAATGCATATTGATTCTCAGAGTAAGCTACAATAATCCATATTAATGTATACAGTACAATTTTGCTTTTGTGCTGTGATTATTTGTTGTGGATCATGACTTAAGAACCCATTTATGGATCCTTGAAACAAATCTTATTTACCCTTCAATTTATTTAACCAATAAAACAGTACTCATTTTGACTATTCCAAGTCAAGGCTTACAAGGGTACTGTAGCTATAGTAAACAAATATATTTGGAATTCCCTATTGGCCTATTCTCAATAAATAGTGGATGGTTTCTAATGTTTATTTTATTTTGCTATTATTATTTTTTGTTCAGCCAAAAAACACAAAGGGACAATAATTAAATAATTTTTGTAGTTGAGTGTGGAATCTGTCTTTTTAATCAATGAAATAATCATTTTCCACAGACTATGAGCCATGCCAGATGCCAGTGATCCTTTGTACTTTGATGTTGATATATACAAAGCACTCTTTAATAACACTGGCCAATATTTCTTGAAGATTGCAATCCAGGGATCTCCTGAAAAACAAAATGAAGTCAAGCTTTACATCAACCAGTCAAAGAATGGTCTACACCAGTCACAGTATGTTACTGATGCCTGTTTTCAAGGTGACACAGGCGAACCAATCATGTTTCCTGATTCAAAGATAACCTTTTACATACCACAAGGTAATTCGTCAGGGCACAAAATCAACTTTTAAACAAGCAAAACCTTGCTAGTAAGTTGTTTTCTCACTAGCAAAAATGTCAGTTGATATTGAATTTGTCAATAGAAATCTAGAGCTCATAGAGGAGGACATGTCAGGTTCATGGGAGGTGTTATATAACGATGAGTAAATATGTAGGCATTATTTCTCAATTGACACGGTTTTCTTTGTTATTCACAAGGCTTTATTTTTGTTATGGCCCTCATTATAAATGTGAGGTCAATATATAGTTATTAGAGAGTTTTAGATTTACGTTCACGACAAACGTGAAACGTCAGTTGACCTGTAAAAAATTCTTTTAAATTACTGAAAAAGAATCGCAAAAAAGTCCAAGTAGTAGAAAAACAAAAGAGTATTTGCGCTTGGTGAGAAGGTTTGTAAAAGGTAAAGTAAAATACACAAAAACTATGAAAACGTGGTCACATTTGCCGTTTGCGGGGAGGAAAAAAAGTTAATCTAAAACTCTCTATTAACCCGGTTAATAACTATATATAGACCGTTCGCATTTATAATGAGCAACATTTCATAGAAAACCTTCTCAATTGATAAATAAAATACTTAATTACCTCGAACGTTGGCAATAAGCCTATACGTCTCTCGGGCCTGCGGCCCTCGGGATGTATATGGCTTATTGCCTCCATTCTCAGTAATTAACTCTAACTTTCTGGTCAGCTTATCTAACTAGTTTGTACATTAGTACACTAGGACAAATGTTGCATCAGCTAGGCACTCATTCCAACTTTTATAGCAGTAGCTACACCGTATTGAGCTTGCCTAGCCTTTTAGTATTTATAGCACCGGCAATTATATACCCACCCACCCACTCCATTAGCTTTCCTATAACCAGGGCAGTATTGATATTTGTAACATATATGTACACACATATAGAGATTTGAATTATTATTCATAAAGACTGCCTGTTAACCCAACGTGGTGCGTTGTCGTGACTGGTTTAGGAATCACTAGCAGTTGATTGCAGCAAAAATAACAAACATTACTTTATGTGGCTTCAAGACTTTTCAGTCCCTCAATTTCTAGACTATGGTCATACTCGCAAAAATTAGCTAGTTAAATTTTTTCTAATTATACTTGATAAATATAAAATTTCACTCACATTTTGTCTAAGATTATACTAAGGCAATAATTCACCTCAGGCTGACAGTGATTTTTCTGAATATTTACCTCACCATACCACTTGAATACTCACGGCTCAGTAAATATTCCAGAACAATTACGTTTGGTGAAGGCAAGGGGCTCTTAAATGGGCTCTTCATTGCACATGCATAACCACTGCATTTCCTTTTTACAACACACAACACACAACATTCAACTCACATGTTCATTTTTACAGAGGGAGAAAAAAACAGAGAACCAATAGAAAAACCCTTTACAAGGGAGAGAACGAAATACCAAAATAATAAACTCTGTGTGGTTAACATGTGTGATTCAGTTAATAATCAATTGAAACCTGTGACCCTTAGCCATGAAGTGCACAGCATATGGAGAAACAGGGTCATAGCTTAGCTTATGCCACTTACAATAATACTACTCAAGGGTTGGATTTTATCCTCAGACCTGCCAATTTAGCCTATGTCCCTACTTTAAGTTTTCCCTACTTTAAGTTTTCTGCTTTTCCTTTAGTATAGTAGTTCCAAAATATACACTTTAACTTATTGCAACCATCTTCCAACATAAACAACATTTGATGTCCAATCTTTATGTGCAGGATGGATCTAGGGTGTTTGTATTAAGGCACTAAACCACAATTGAACCCCCTAAACCATGATCAAACCCTGTAAATGACAACTACAAGCCCCCTAAAGGACTATGAATTCCCTAATTAGAATTTAAAAGCAGAGTTTTTTTTGGTTTACCAAACTACAGCCCACTTGTTGGCTTGGTTTGGCAGATGAAATCTGTCCCAGTGAAAATTATGGATTCTTCCCTCAGTGATGGGCATATGTTACAATATAGTAAATTGGAGGCGAGCCTAGGAAATCCACTGAAGGTGGATGGTTCTGTATCTGATTTACAGATCTCTGCTATGTTGTGATTTCTATTGCATAGTCAGATTTTTGCATTGTTTCAATCTTGTTTTTGAAACAAAATTTTTTAATATTAGATATACAGTACAAATGATAATGAGTAAATGAATAGCAAGAAAGAGAATATTCAGAAAGAATCTGAGTTTAAGAGGGGATTTAAGCCATAGCCCTTCTGTATCCTATTTGGACACCCTGACCACTGATCTTGCCTAATCTAACTTGTTTTTGTTTTACCTTTTATTTAGGATTTGTGGAACAGGAAGTATTTCTTATTGCAGAGGCTTATGAACTCTCAGAAACTCAACAAAAATGTGGAGAAGCTGCATTCTTAGTATATCCTCACAGAAGCTCCCTTTTCCCAACCAAAGTGGCACCAGAAAACAGAGCAGATGAAAAGCATGTTTTGTATAATACTGAAAAGCAATTAACTTTAACAACAGCAGAAAGTGGTCTTGGTGGGATGTCAGTAAGTGTTGGTGTACTTTGGATGAAAGCAGTCCTTAGAAAGGCAGATCAGGAGGACTCACAGGAACAGAATATAGTTCCTACTTCTGCAGGCAAGTGTAAGCCTACACCTTATTATTTAGTCAACTAAGATCTATTTTTAATTATGATAACTTGTCTTATCAACCATTGATTTAATACATATGTTACGAGCTTTTGGCCTACTCACAGCCATCCTCAGGGAAATGAAAAACGTTACATATTGACAAAGAAAAACGCGATCAAACCATGGCATATGTGCACGCACATTAAATTAAACAAATTCACG